CTTTAGTTTTTCCAATTACTCAAAGGAATTGTAAAAGTAATCGAGAAACTGAAAGTTCATTCACGAATATACAATGTGGAATTTTTGTTGTGGTCAAAGATTAAAATCGAAAGCACACATTGGACATCTTCTATGTATATCTATATATATATAAAAATGTTGTGTTCGTATGTCACGGTCATCAAAACCCGAGAACGGCTGAACCGATTTGAACAATATTTTTTTTATTATTCGGTATAATACCAGAACCAATGATATCGCAAAAATTTGGTGGGTTGCCACCTATTTTAAAATTTAATTAATTTAAAATCAATGAATTATTACAATATGGGTATTAAGTTAAAGAGGTTTAAGAAAGATAACTGCTGGAAGTATTTTTAACGAGGGTGGCCTCCTATTTGAAAATTTAAACTCAGTCAAATTGTTAAAAAAAAATGAAATATTGCCATGTGGGTGTCAAACTAAAGAGTTTTAAGAAGGCTTACTGCCGAAAATATGTTTGAGGAGGGTTGCCATCTGTTTGAAAATTTAACTAAATTACATTGATAAAATAAATAAAATATTACAATATGGGTATCAAATTAAAAAGGTTTGAGAAAGATAACTGTTGGAAATATTTTTGAGGGGGCTGCCACCTATTTGGAAATTGTAACTCAGTTAAATTGATAAAGTAAATGCAATGTTGGCATGTGGGTGTCAAACTAAAGAGTTTTAAAAAGGCTTACAGTCTACCATGAACACTTCCAGAAATATGCAATATGAAAAGTTCGGTTTATATGGGAGGTGCCACACGCCATTCTCCAACCATGCAAATTTTTCTCCATGAGTATGGAATTGGTCTTATATATGTATATAGATATCACCATACCCAGTTCTAGTCCTCTACCACAAATATATGCAGTTTGAAAAATTCGGTTTGTATGGGAGGTGCCACGCCCCCTTTCTATATCGAAACTTTTTTTAGCTATAACCATCCTTGGAAAGTCTGCAGTAGATTCCGAAATTTCAAAAAAATCGGTACGGCCTTTCTCGAGCTTTGCGAACAGAAAAAAACGCCTTTCAAAATATATATTAGTATAGACTAGCCAAACTCTGCTTGTTTTGCGGGTTAAAACACTACTACCGATGAAAATCGATGGATAAATAAACAAGTTTGCAAGGGTTAAGTGAAAGTGCAAGAATTTTTTGTATGAAATACTAGCAGGAAATTTAACAAAGCTATTGCAATTCAACAGTAAAAATTTTTTTTTTATAAATTTTTCGATTACTTTTTAAATTACTTTGAGGAATGGAATTGGAAAAAAAATCAATTACATTTTCAATTCCTTTCAAAGGAATTGAAATAAAAGAAATTACATTACTAGCACGTAATTTATTCCAATTACAATATGAAATTCCTTGTAATGGAATTAAAGAAAAAAACAATTCCATTTGAAATTACTTCAAGGAATTGAAAAAGTAACTAAAGGAATTGAATCCTAATTACAATTACTGAGGAATGTAATTGTAATTGTAATGTAATTGCATTTACCCAGCTCTGATGATTACCGGTGGTGGCGTGGCTTTTATACATAGGTATATACTTGCGTGGTTGGTGGTTGGCTGTACTCGAAAACTTGTTGGAGATGTATGTATGTGTTGTACGACGAAAAAATTCGGTACCGTTTCAAAGTTCTGCTGCCGTTTTCATAGCGGTATACCGTTTGAAATATGTATATACGATGTGAAAATGCTGTACGCCGTAAAAACTGTACAATGTAAAAATGCTGTACAGTTTTAAAGCTGCGATGCCGTTTTCATAGGAATATACCGTTTGATGGTGTTGTACGGTAATCCCAAAAATGTAGTACAGTCATTTTCCTTACTCACCAGCCACGACCACGGTCACACTTGTGCTGCTTTTAGCACNTACGGTAATCCCAAAAATGTAGTACAGTCATTTTCCTTACTCACCAGCCACGACCACCGTCACACTTGTGCTGCTTTTAGCACTTTTTCATGCGCGTACGGACTCCAGAGACTCCGTGGCTCCGCGTCACGGTCGCCATGTCGTGCTGCCCTTCTACCCGAATATTAGTGTCTGCTTACCTCGGGTATTTAGGAGCACGAAGACTCAGAAATGCTGGACTGGTTCCTTATTGCTGGTTGGGTAGCGAGTCTGCTTACGGAGTTTGACTCCTCACACACACAATCGAAAAATGTTCTTTTTAAATTAAACTTTTAATTATGGTGCACCCGCGGCAACTACATTCGCTCATAATATATAAACACCGTTTTGAAATTGATTTAAGTGAAATTTATGTANAAGTGCCTTACAATGCTTCAGAAAATCTTATTCTCAGAGGAGCATCCGCATCTCAAAAATCGTCTTCAAATTACTCAATCGTCACGATTACAACAGCTTTTGCACCTGAAATTCAATTCTGTCATATCTGAGCGTCAGTTTTTCGTCTATACTATTCGCCTATGGAACAAATTACCCCTTAAACTCAGGGCTATTAAGGACACATTGCACTTTAAAATAGCATTACTTAGACACTATGCTGACTAAATGAAAATTTGTAACTATTTAACTCGCGTCAGTCACCTCAACTCTAACCGCTAAATTACTGTATTTTTCTTTATTCTCTTCAATCTTAAACTTTATGAATAATTTTATAAGTTTTAGATGCTAAGTTCAAATTTTATACATTTTAATATCGTATTATATTGTAATATTCTCAGTATCTAACACTGAAATATAACCTGTGGTTGTTGTGTTAGACTACTTTAATAAATAAATAAATAAATAAATAAATAAAGTCCCAACAGTCCCGAAATTAGTTCCGAGAATCCCGAAATAGTCCCGAAAGTTGCAAAAATCCGAAATAAGTCCCAAAAATCCCTAATTAGTTCTCAAAGTCCCAAAATTTCTAAATTATTCCCAAAAATGGAGAAATAGTCCCGAAAGTTGCAAAAATCCGAAATAAGTCCCAAAAATCCCTAATTAGTTCTCAAAGTCCCAAAATTTCTAAATTATTCCCAAAAATGGAGAAATAGTCCCGAAAGTCCCAAAAATCCGAGATTAGTCCAAAAATCCCGAAATTCTCCTGAAAACCTCAAAATGGTCCCGAAACTCTAAAAAATGCAAAAGAAGTCCCAAAAAATCGATATACACCCGAAAGCCCCCAAAAGTCCCAACGTAATTCCCAAAAATCCTGAAATCAGTTCCGAGAATTACGAAATAGTCCCAAAAATCCTGGAATAGCGCCGAAAGTCCCAAAGTTCCTAAATTAGTCCCAAAAATCCCGAAATGGTCCCGCAAGTCCCAAAAATTCAAGAATAATCCCGAAAATCCGAAATTATTCCTGAGACTCCGAAATAGTCCCAAAAATCTGGAAACAGTCCCGAAAGTCCCAAAAATCCCGAAATTCCTCCCGACAATCTCGAAATAGACCCCAAAGCCCCAAAAATCCCGAATTAATCCCTGGAAAATGTCCCGAAAGTCCCAAAAATACCTAAATTATTCCCGATAATGCCGAAACAGCCCCGAAAGTTCCAAAAATCCAAAATCGGTCCCAAAAATCTGGAAATAGCCTCGAAAATCCCGAAATTACTCCCGACAATCTCGAAATAGACCCGAAAGTTCCAAAAATCCTAAATTAGTCCCAAAAATCTGGAAATAGTCCCGAAAGCCCCAAAAATACCTAAATTAATCCCGATAGTCCCAAAAATCCCTAAATAGTCCCGAAATTATTCCCGAGAATACCGAAAACCCCATAAATCAGAAATAGGCCCAAAAGATCTGGAAATAGTCCCCAAAGGCCCAAAAATCGAAAAATAGCCCCAGAGTCCCTAAAATTTCGAAATTACTCCCGAGAATCGCAAAATACTCCGAAAGTCCCAAGAATCCCGAAACAGTCCCGAAAGTCCCAAAAACTTGAAATTAGTCCTAAAAATCGAAAATTAGTCCAAAAGTCCCAAAAATCACGAGAGCGCCGAAATACTCCCGAAAATCCCGCTCTTAACTCCGAGAATACCGAAGGTCCCAAAAATCCCGAAACTAGTCCCAAAAATCCCTAAATATTTTGAAAGTCGTCTCGAAAATCCCGATATTAGTTCCGAGAATCTTGAAAATCCTGATTTAGTCTGAAGAACTCCCAAATCCCGAAACATTTCCAAAATTGAGGTGTGGTGAGTTTAGGTGATGTGTGGTGAGAACGGGTGTGATGAGGTCAACTGTGGTGAGTTAAGATTTGGTGTACCAGTAGGAGGTGTGGTGAGTTTAGGTGAGGTGTGGTGAGTTTGTATGTGGTGAGTTGATTTGAGGAGAGGTGAAGTGAGTTGTGGTAAAGTAAGTTGAGGTGAGTGTAAGGTGAGGTGTTAATTCTCTAAATTTCTCCTAAATTATACAATATTTAGTTTGAAAGTATTTAACCATCGACTAAATACCTCGGTACTTTAGTGAAAGTATTTTGCATCCCCAAGGTACCTGAGTACATTGGACCAGAGTATTTAGCGCCTGCTAAATACTTTCGTTTTTTGTACTTTGGTATCTAGCAGCTCCTAAATACTCAAGTTTTTCTTGCTTTAATATCTAATAGCTCCTAAATACCTAAATATAAGTATAAGTATTGTTTACTTAGGTATTTCGCACCTCGTAGATACCTAAGTAAATAGTACTTGGGTATTTAGCAGCTCCTAAATACCTAAGTTCTTTTTGCTTGAATATTTAGTCGTCTCCAAATACTACCCAAAGTGGTACTTTAAGTACAAAAGTATTTAGGTGTGCCCATCACTGCAACTAACTAACAGCGTCACTGAAATGCAAAAGGTACAGTACACAAGTTTATAACTCGCAAACGAGTGAAAATCGGTAGATAAAATACTAATGTTGTAAATATGTATGCGCGTATATTCGAAATAAAACGATTTTTGATAATTAAAAAACTTTGATGATCTTTTGTTTAAAAAATTTAAAAGGACCATTTTTTATAAATTATTTTTCGTTCGTAATTTATTTAAGCACGCTCTCCACGAATACGTCTCATGTTTTTGGGCATAATTGTCTCGCGCTTGGCATGAATGACGCACAAATTGGTATCTTCAAATAAGCCAACTAAATATGCTTCGCTTGCTTCTTGTAAAGCCATAACAGCGGAACTCTGGAAACGTAAATCGGTCTTGAAATCCTGGGCAATTTCGCGTACCAAACGCTGGAATGGCAATTTGCGGATCAACAATTCAGTACTTTTTTGATAACGAATTTCACGCAAAGCCACTGTACCGGGACGATAACGATGTGGTTTCTTTACACCACCAGTCGCTGGTGCACTCTTACGGGCAGCTTTTGTTGCCAATTGTTTGCGTGGTACCTTACCACCAGTCGATTTACGGGCTGTTTGCTTTGTACGAGCCATTTTCTACTATTCACCGAACCGAAAGTATCGATATAGTACTCATTTAAAGTATCGTTGTAAAAATATCAGGTCCCATTAATACCGTAATAAAAATACTCGATAGTCCAAATATCGATACAAATTTCAAAAAATTAAATCTGAATATTGGTCTCATTTTCTATAATAGAATTAACAATATGCACTTTAGTAAATACATCACTGAAGGCGCGCCACATACCAACCTAAGACAGTACACATTTCTGCGCTTTAAAGCGCGAAATATATCCATATTTCTTTACATAGAAATTGCAATGTAAGTAATGTGTATACTATGACATAGATTTGCAGGAAATGGAATCCTAGCTAAGGCTAAAATTCATGTTTTATTTGCGTTAAAAATTTGTTTAAAAACAATGTTAACAACAAAACTTTCAATAGAAATTTTAGTAAGGTAGCGTCACGTCAGATACTTCGCCTGATAAAAAAAGAAGGACAGATTTTTACAATTTGGAATTTGGAAAATTAACTTTAAATATTTCAAATATTACTACAAAAAGTTTTATACAAATGGTATTGCCCAGTTACCAGAGTTTAAAATTTTGACGTTTTCATTTTGTTTTCTAATATTTTGTCATACAAATGTATCATTAACTTTGTAATGTACATTTACGATTCGATACGATACAAGGGTTCTGGTACTCGATTCCAAAAAATATCGTTTGACAACTTTCGAGTAAAAAGTATCGGTATCGAATGGCAAAAATATCGATATGGTATCATATCGTATCGAGGTTCGTGTCCCTAATAACAAGAATGATAGTATACAAGATTTCGCATTCCCGGTGGTGATGATGACATTTCTCAAGTAAAAGTAAACAAAGCCGAATGACAGTAGAAAAGAAACTGTCAAACTGCGAATTTCTTAATATTAAATTTTTCATCGGGAAACGTGATTTTATTGTGTTAAATTAAAAAAATATATCATTTATAATCATTTATAAAATAACGAATAAAGAAAATGTAAATAAAATAATGTAAAAAAATATTTTTTAAAAACAAGCTTTTATTTACAAAAGCTTTTTTAAGTTAAAGGAGTTATTCAAACTCTAATGAAAATTACTAACAATTTGTACTAATTTACTTCGTTTTTAAAAAAGTTGTCGCGCGAATAGCAAATATCTGCATACATACCTAACCAATTATGCATGAACGCTGTATTCGCCGACAAGCTTTTTTAAAAACGTAATAAATTAGTACAAATTGTTAGTAACTTTCATTAGAGTTTGAATAACTCCTTTCACTAAATGGCTTTTAGTAACTTTAACGAGACCTTAACTTATTTTATTTTATTCATTTTAGTGCAGTTCTGACAAAATTTTCTTGCTAAAAAAGCTTTTGTAAATAAAAGCTTGTTTTTAGAAAAATATTTTTTTTGCATTATTTTATTTTCTAATTTTTAGTCCATTTATAAAAGCGTTGTATATTAAAAAGAGTGCAATGAAAGAGAACAGAAGACAATGCAAGCAAAATGTAGTTTTCTTACGTTTTGAATAAACATACATATGTACATATAGCAGCAGTTAATTTCATTTAAACAAATGGCGTGTTTGTCCGTTTCCGCTGTAGCGTACCTACGCTTTTACCTAAATGGTGCATATATTTAGGCGCAATATTTAACTTCTGGCGGGGCGACATCTGGAGTCTTCTAATCCTATCTCCTTGATATGATGCCTACAACGAGGTTCATATCTTGAATAGGTTGATATCTAGAATTTGCCACAAATTGCTTTGCTACACTACCGCCTTCAGCATTAACAATTTTATAGTGGTTTTACGTTCTTTGGCAAATTACGCTCTGTTAGCCATAAATCTTACTATTTTTTGACCGCCTTTGAATCAAGACCCCTGGACCATACAGGGAATTCATTTATATATATTAAATTGCATTGTCATCGTGATTGGAACTATGCTGAAAATTTCAAGTCTCTAACTTGTCGGGAAGTTAGTTTAAAATCGATTGGAAATTTCCGCGATTTCCGCGGGATGACCAAGTTAAATAAAAGCTTCTACGAAAAATCGGCGATTTTTGTGAAAGTGTTAGCACATTACAGTGCATCTAAAGTTTCTAAGGCGTTGAGGATTGTCAAACTCGGCAAAAACCAAGTTAAAAGTTGTTTCTAGAGATTCGAATTAAAAAGTTGTCAGTTTAGGTGAAACCATGCAGATTTTTTTTTTAATTCTTGTAAAAAGTTTGTTCCAAAACCTGAGATTTACCACATTTTTTCTAAATCTACCACATTTTTTTCCAGACTCTACCACACAGAATTTTTAATAAGTCCGTTCACTGTAATGGGGTTGAGACGTCACATACCGTCTTCAAAAGTGACACAGCAAATGCCGGAGAAAATTATCATGTGCTAAGAAATAGTTTTTCGCATTTTCTGACAAACGTGTAATTTTGAGTTGCGTTCCTTTTGAAGACGGTGCGCGAATATTTTCGTGTCGAAACGAGATAGAGATATATTTTGTACTCTATTTGTGTATCTTGGTTGTTCATTCGGCAACATACGATTCTTGTATAAATACAGGCACTTTTTAGTTCAGGCATTAATTGTGTTACCGATTTCGGTGAAGTGCAGTGTTTGTGTTCTCTACTAGTGAATAAATATACATATACATATAAAAAAAAATGACTGGTCGCGGCAAAGGTGGTAAAGGTTTGGGAAAAGGTGGTGCCAAGCGTCATCGTAAAGTTTTGCGTGATAACATCCAGGGTATTACCAAGCCAGCTATTAGACGTTTGGCTCGTCGTGGCGGTGTGAAACGTATATCTGGTTTGATATATGAAGAAACACGTGGAGTTTTGAAGGTATTTTTGGAAAATGTTATCCGTGATGCAGTCACTTATACCGAACATGCCAAAAGAAAGACAGTTACAGCAATGGATGTTGTATATCGATGGCTGAGTGGAAGATCGACCTATCTCGGCAGCCAGTTCGAAAACATTTTATCTCAAAAAACTTTTCAAGAACGCCCTATTTTAGAATTCGTTTCGAAAACGCCCTATCTCAGCTGCCGATTCAAAAACGCCCTATATCAGCATATTTTCAATACATTTTGAAGTGAGATAAGGCGTTTTTGAACCGAGTTTTGAGATAGGGTGTTTTTCAAATAAATTCTGAAATAGGCCGTTCTTGAAAAGTTTTTTGAGATAGAGCGTTTTCGAACTGGCTGCCGAGATAGGTCGATCTTCCACTCAGCCATCGATATGCTCTGAAGAGACAAGGCCGCACTCTGTATGGTTTCGGCGGTTAAATAAATTTTGCGGACAATAGAAACATAATAAAACAAAAAACGGTCCTTTTCAGGACCACAGAATTTTTAACAAAGATTAAAATATTTTTGACCAATTAAATACAAATCATACTATTTTGTAATTTTACAAATAATAAATAAATAAATAATAATAAATAATGTGCATACTTATTCCAGACAGCGTGTTTGCTATGTATGCGTACACACGGTATGCGTTCGTGTTGTTACGAATTATACCTGCCAGCAACGGCTCACCACTTTCCTCTGAAATTCAAACGATTTACAAACACATTCACAACTTCTTAGTCATCTAACCCATGATACCAAAAGGAAGTTTAAAGGAGGTAGTTTAAGTAAACAACTCCAAAGTATCCCTATGTGTGCTCGATACATTTTTTTGCCACACCACTTGATTTGCAAAAGTGCAGTGCCATTAAGGTAAAATATCTTTAAATTTATGCCAAAATCTTCGCTTTAATATCTGTATGTACATGCAAATTCATCCATACGTACATATATGTATGTATGTACATACACATGCATAAATATGGATATTATAAATAGATAGTAGTTTAATTTGTCTGATTACTTTAAACTATGGAAACTTAAGATAAATCCTAGTAAATGTTTTTGCACAGCAGTCAAGGGCCTAAAAAACAGACTGTATCCTTCTGCGCGAGCATTTATACCTAATATTAGCATTGATAACACAACTTTAAAATATCAAACTCAGATTAAATATTTGTGAGTAATCGTTGATGAAACCTTCAGGTTCATTCGTCATATTGATTTTACTCTGTCGAAAGCAAAAAAAATATTTTTTATGTATATTTCTTTCAAAAAAGAGCAAAAGCTTTGAGCAACAACATCAAACTTAATTGCTATAAACAATTAATAAGACCTATTTTAGCTTATGCCTTCCCCATTTGGTTTGGAATTTCCTCAAACCAAACGGCTGCGGAAAGGCTGCGTCAGTTTGAGAGGAAAATCCTTAGAATTTGTACCAACACAAATTATGGGCCATTCAGACATGGCTTCAGACGGAAAGTTTCTAGTAAAATACTCTACGAAAAATGTAAAATCGAGCGCATTGATCAATTTATGATAAAATCTGCATTGAAATATGTTAATAAGTTAAAAATTTGTAAAAATAAATTGATAGAAAAATACTGTCTTAAGGAGAGCTCTATTAGCTTTCCCTTTGAAGAAACATACTTGTCTCCTATTTATTTGAACGTATTAAATAATAACAATGCCTTGTTCAAAGAAAAAAAACTTCTCTTCTATCATAGAAAGTTTAATACTCTAAATTTAGCTGATACTGTATATAATATAAATCAAAATGATTTTGAAGTAAAACAAATTATTGTACACTCTTTAGAATAAGCCTTTTGTAAGTTATTTTTTAGTGTATAAAATATTAAAAGAAAATCCATTTTTTTAAACTTTTTGTGGATACATTAATTTGAAATGAAATATNTTATTGTACACTCTTTAGAATAAGCCTTTTGTAAGTTATTTTTTAGTGTATAAAATATTAAAAGAAAATCCATTTTTTTAAACTTTTTGTGGATACATTAATTTGAAATGAAATATTCATTGAATATATCCAAACCAC